GTCTGATCCTGGGTTTCCGTCTTCTCGTTCCTATCCGGGTAGTCCGATGTGAGGGGGGTGTGCCTGCAAAGACACTCCAACGCTCAAGTAAGTGCTCGGCGTAATAAATGCGGTAGTTGAAAAGTTAGTTACATACCTCGAAGGTGGTCTATTTATAGTGTTTCTTATTGGGCCGTGATTAGGAGCTGGGCCCCGGAAAATTAGGGGGCTAATCCGACTTATTCCTTAAATTAATCCTTTCGTAATCATACTGGTGGAGTCCCGGGGCTCGGCCGACTAGATTTCTGTTTGGCGAGTGTTCGGTGTGTTCGGGTATCAGTTTCGATCTCTGTTGGGTTCGGGTCTTCGGTCTGGTCGGTCGGGTCGGCCTCGGTCCCATACGGTATAATGAGTGTGTTCAAAAGGTTTCAATTAAGCATTTGAAATTTCTCCAACGCTTTTATTTTTTTGGTTTTGGTTTTGCATAGTTCTAGTGAGAAACAAAAATTTCATTTTTCATTTGCTTCACTTATAACAGGACACAAATTTAATATCTCTCATTTCAAATTTATAAGACATTCAATTTTCTTGAAGTTTTGAAACAAATTTGGGTTATTATTCGTAAAAATACAAGATCTTCCACAAAAAATACAAATAAGGAGAATATCATCATTATCAGAAAAGACAAAAAAAAAAGAGACTAAGAACATACTCATGTCGACAAAGAACAAATCCATTTGATTGAAAGTACTTGTCAATGTGACTATTTCATGCCTTTGTACTTGTTTTAGACCATATAATGTCTTATCCAATTTCAAGACCTTCTCTTCTTACTCTTTGATAGCAAAACCTATTGGTTGTTTAACATAAACATCTTCCTCTAGATAGCCATTTAGGAAACTTGATTTGATGTCAATAAGTTAGAAAATTATCCACCCCATTTAAGTAACTATAGAGATAATTAAGAAGATAAATTGTCTCAATACAAATAATTATAGTGCAAAACAAATTTCATGTTGTTACTTATTACCTATGATGCACGTATACGATACCCGTATCGGATACGATACGTATCCGATACGGGCAAACGTCAAATTAAATTTTAAAAATATAGGATACGATACGTTTAGGATACGTATTAAAAATAAATAAATTAATATATATAAAATTAAAAACTTTTTAAATAAATTATAAAATTAAATAAAAAATGGTGAGTAATTATCCTAAACGTGTATAATTACTAAAATAATTATCCATTTTTTAATATTTATAAAATTAATAATTTTATACTAACACTTTTTATATTTTTAAATAAATTATAAAATTAAATAAAGGTACAAACAACACAGTAAAATATAAAAAAGAAAAAAAAGTGAAATGGCAAGAGACCCTTGCGTATTTTGCTTACATTTTCATTTTTTTAATATTATATGCACGTGCGAAATATATACGCAACATAAAAAGTTTTCATCTCACTGTGCATCCTTCCATCTCACTATGCATAACCGAAAGAATAATAGAGAAAAGGAGATTATATGCTTTACCTGGCTGGTGTGCGGTTGTGCGGTTGTCTTCTAAATTCGATCCGGTGCCTAAACGCAGCAATTATCTGGCTTTGGAATGCAAGTATCTCCCTCTCAAATTTGTGTTTTTCTTACTATTTTATGCATGATTTTCGAATAATATTTTCATCCTGGAACAAATCTAGAAGATATTTTTTACTTTCTTTTTTTAATAAAATCACTTTGGATACGGATGAGATACGTATCTTTCACGTATCAAAACGTATCCGTGCTTCAGAGCTTATTACCTTTAACAACGAGTTTTTCTTTACATCTTTCTACCTCTCTTTTGTCATTCTTCTTAATCTTGACCATCCACTTGACTCTAATTGCTTTATGATCCTTAGAAATTTTTTGACAACTCCAAAGTATCATTCTTCTCAATGATATTAATTTCTTCCTCCATGGTTTGTCTTTTATTTATTTATTATCTTTTATTGCCTCATCAAAAGTTAGAAGTTCACTATCAAGAAAAATACAAAACATATTATTTATATAATTTTTCAGTTTCATCATATATTTCTTAAATATTTCTCATTTTCTTAGTCTTTCACTTGAACTACCTTTGGAAGATAGACTTCATGAATAAATGGTGTTGTTGAAAAAGGTGGAGTAGAAATTCTTGATGAATTTCCTCAAAATAAGGAAAGAAATCATAATCTCTTTCTTTCACCCAATTCCATAACTTCTGGGTTGATAACTCTTTTCATTAATATTAAATTTGCCATGATCTCTTCTTCCTCCTCTTTCTTAGCCATGTCCACATCGTCTTCCACAACAACATCCTCTTTGACTTAGTTTCTCCATTTTCTTTCAAAGAAGATTTGGCCATAAGAACTTGCTCTAATGGCTCATCATCTCTTCTCTTTAGCAGTTCTTTATACACTAGTGGAAAAAAAGGCTTTTAAAATCGGTTATTTTTAACTTTTAAAATCGGTTTCATAACCGATTTTAAAAGAGCCGATTTTAAAAGTTAGACCTTTAAAATCGGTTAAATAACCGATTTTAAAAGTTAACTTTTAAGATCGGTTATTTTATAACCGATTTTAAAAGTTAACTTTTAAGATCGGTTGTTTTATAACCAATCTTAAAATTCCTGGCTCCGAAAAAAAATTAACTGGAACAGACCGGTCCAAAACTGGAACGGGCCGTTCTAGGTTGTAAAAAAACTACTTGAAGAACGGACATCAGAACAGCCCGTTCTCCTTTCAGTACGGGCCGTTCTCCATGGAGAACGAGTCGTTTTCCTTGAAGAACGGGTTGTTCTTCAAGAAGAACGAGTCGTGCTCCTTGTAGAACGGGTCGTGCTCCTTACAGAACGGGTCGTTCTCCTTGCAGAATGGGCCGTTCCAAATTCAAAATTTACCCAAAATGAACCTACAACGAAAATAGAGACAAGACAAGAGCATGAGAAAAAGAAAAGAGACACAAGAAGAGCATGTGAAGACGAAAACAAAAACGAAAACGACAACGAAATTTATCTTATTGGAAACTTTAGAAAATGAGAGAGCGAGAGAGTAAAAAAATGAATGGAGGGAAAGATTAAAGAGAATGAGAATGGAGGGAAATATAAAAGGTTTCTGACGATACTTTTAAAATTGGTTATTTAAGAACCGATTTTGTATACTACATACAAAATTGGTTCTAAAATAACTGATTTTAAAAGTAGCGCTTTTAAAATCGGTCATAAAATAACTGATCTTAAAAGTACTTTTAAGATCGATTATTTTATGACCGATCTTAAAAGTTATGTCTGATACAACTTTTAAGATCGGTTCTTTTGTAACCGATCTTAAAAGTTGTGTTAGACATACCTTTTAAGATTGGTCATAAAATAATCGATCTTAAAAGTACTTTTAAGATCGGTTAAATTTTAACCGATCTTAAAAGTGTTCATGTTATTTACAAAATTATCACCGCGTCACTTTTAAAATCAGTTACCTTGTAACCGATCTTAAAACTCCGATTTAAATCAAATTTTTAAACTAGTGATATGCTTGAAGTGAATTTATCACTTCATTCATGATCATTGATTCTAAATCCTTTGACCGCTCAATTACACAAACTATAACATCAAATTTCACAATTAAAGAACGAAGAATTTTTTCACAAGAAAAACATCTTCCACCTCTAAGACAACCTAATATGTCCAATATTGGGAGGATAGATCAAGAGTGTTCTCTTTTTTCAAACCTTTCAATATTTCTGGACCAATGATTCCTACACCCCATATGTCAAAAAAAGCTCCATAGTTCGTAAGTCCCACAGTTAAACTCGGGAGATCATTTGTGGTCTTCCCAACCACTAGTTTAATGGGAATGTTTACATTAATCTTAGCTTTGTCGTGGTTGCCCATTCCACTCCCTGCAAGCTTCTCATTTATGAAAGCATATGAAAGGCATGACCAAGAGATTTAACGTGAAGGACAAGTTTTAGAGAAAGGGTATTCCCATCCTGAAAAATGAGGCTACTTGTCACCAAATTAGATAGGAAACTATGAAAAAAAAAATTTGGAAGAAATTGTATTGTTCTTACACTTCAACTACATGAATTGGTATTTCTAGTTATACTAGTGTAACCATCAACGATTACATAATAAACCTTCGAATACTTAGTTGTGTAGTTTCCATATTAATTCACAATTAATAACAAATCTTTTATTTTCTAATTATTATTTCTAATAATTTTGGTATTTTAAAATACAAATATAAATTATTTGTTAGGTTTAATAGTCATGTATTATTGTTGTAAAGCAATTTTGTATAGTGAACCAACAAAAAAAAATACTGTTGATATAATTTTTCTTAAAAAAATCTGTCACATCCGAAGTCAACACTACATATAAATTTCTTTTTATAACATAAACTATCCACGCAGTACTATTAGTTGGGCCGATACTAACACTAAAAAAAAATTAAAACAAAATATGAAAAAGCCTTTTTAGAAAAAATAATAATAATTAAAATACTTACAGTGTCAGCCAGAGACGGCCAGGCTGTATGTATGTGCGTCGGTTAGAAAATAGAGAGAAATGGCAAAAACGTGTTGTACTTTCGTCGATAAGTATGTGATTTAAATATACGACATCCCCAATAACATATTACAAGTGTATCAGCTAAGATCTAATCTTTCTATTTCAAACAGATTAAGGAACATTTATCTACACAAGTCAAATGTATCCTATAACAGCAACTTAATTACACTATACATGTTACTTTATTCAAAAATAAAAAATAAAACTCCAGACTTTAAATTAAGCTACTTCAAAAATTGCTTCTTCTCGAGGCTTACACTTTATTCAAAAATCATTTCCAATCGACAACACTCACGAAAATAAAATCTAAGTGGTACGAACAACTACACACAGCAGAGACAAAAATCTATTGACAAAATCTAAGAAACGGTAGCACGGTTCAACAAAAGATAACAGAGACTCAACGACTTGAAGAAAATTGTAAATTAACATTCAACATATGGTTGCACTTTTTATTAGACATGCCAAGTACCTACACTTATTCTTCTTTGCCAAATTACATTATTAGAAATAGAAATTGACGGGGGAAAAGATAGAATAAAGACCACAGAAAAGGAAACAAAGCGAAACAGGATTTCAAGACATGCAGCAATAACATCCATGACATGTCAAGGTTTATATAGTGTTGGTTGAAGATGAAGTGGTACTTTCTTGATGACAGTGAGTCCCCATATCTCACTCATGTCTACATCTTGCATAGATGCAGCACTCCCAGTAAGCTTCCAATCGAACCAATAGAGGAGATTAGCAAGCATATACTCAGTTGAAGCCATCGCAAACGAAATTCCAATACAACCCCTTCTCCCAGAGCCAAAGGGAATTAATTGAAAATCATTTCCTCTAAAATCAACTTCTGGCTGTTTTTCAAATCTCTCGGGAAGAAACTCCTCTGGCCTGTCCCAAATTTCAGGGTCCCTCTGAATCGCCCATGCATTCACAAACACTCTTGTTTTTGACGGAATATCGAAACCTTTGACTTTCACATCGGACAAAGTTTCTCGAGGTATCAAAAGAGGAGCAGGTGGGTATAATCTTAATGTTTCTTTCACTACACAGCTCAGATAATTCATTTTACTTAAATCATTTTCATCCACTTTTGATTTGTGCCCCACAACTCTTCTTACTTCTTCTTGGACCTTCTTCATGGTATCAGGATTCCTCAACAGCGCCGCAAATACCCATTCCAAAAGTGTTGAGGTTGTGTCACTTCCTCCAGCAAATATGTCCTGAAATTATGAAAATGGGAAAATCCCTTTAGAGCCAAGAATTGCTCATCGGTTCTCAAACTTAAAACCAGTTCTCATAATTTCACTCTTAGAACTACCTCTCGGACAGAGCAGTAACTAATTTTTTCAAAGATTATCAATGAACATAAAGTAGTTATTCTTCTTTTATCATAATTTATTTCATATTTTAAGATTAAGGTTTGAATTCTGAACAATTTAATTAATTAAAGATATGTGTAATTATCACTTACTAGAACTCTGAATAACTTAGTGAACAAGTAGTTACCACTCTGTCAATAATAATATTTGTTCATATGTGATGTAATTCTTCCATTTCTAGGTGTGTCTATCACGTGCATAAAACTCATAGAGAGAAAGAAACATACCATTAGGATTGCCTTGACATCATTCTGTGTGAGCTGAAAATCATGTTTTCCACCCTCTTGAATCTGAAGGAGTATGTCCACGAAGTCTTTGTCATCATCAGATTGGCCATTAATCTCCATTTTCATTCTCTTGCGTTCAGCAACTAACTGATCAAAGAAAGCATCTAATGCAGAGAAAGTGGCCTTAAATTCTGCTATTTGCCCCGTCAGAAAGTCAACCCAACCTAAAGAAGGAAAGAAATCTCCCACAGTAAAAGTTGCCAAGTGTTTCATCATCTTCCTTCCAAGCTCACCAAAGCTGATTCTCCCATCTGATGTATCGTACTTTCGTCCAAGAACACATCTAGACATTATGTTGTTCGAGGTTTCAATCAGCATCTCAGTGAGATTCACGCATGAACTTTTGCCTGCGCATGCTTCACGTATGCCATCAAGCATAAGTGCAACTTCTTCTTCTCTTATGGGCTGAAAGGATCGCACCCTTTTCATGCTTAGAAGCTCAAGAACACATATCTTCCTTTTCTGTCTCCACTCTTCGCTGTAGGGCGCAAAAGCCACGTCCATGCAGCCATACATGATCATTTTCACGGCTGTGGTTTGAGGCTTGTTGGAGAAAGCGACATCATGGGTTCTGTATATATCTTTGGCCACATCAAAAGATGAAACCACAAGAGTTGGAGTTTGACCTAATTGCAGGAACATGAGAGGGCCATACTTGCTAGAGAGTGCATGGAAGGAACGATGTGGTAGAGTGCCTAGTTGATGAAGGTTACCAATTATGGGAAGTTTTGGTGGGGAAGGAGGCAAATTGGACTTCTTGCTTCTTCTTGTTTTTGTTTGGTTAAGCATAAAGAGAAGGAGAGTTAGGAAGCAGAAGAAAACGGTTAAGGAATGGATTGAAGTTGAGTTTAGCTCATTTAGCAATTGCTTTGAAGCTGATAATGGGTGAAGGGCCATTTCTACCGGAGTCATTTGTATTTTCGTAAGGTGTGCAATGCATGCTTCCAGCCATGGCTGAGAATTTATAGAATTTCAGAGGAGAAATCTTATCTTAATTAATATCTTTCATAATAAAATAAAATCACACGACAGCTGCGTATTCACAAAAGATTTACTAATTTATTCCTAGTAACAGTAAAGTTACACTACTAGGATTTCTCTTATTACATGTGACTTTTTCTGCGAATTTTTCATAAAAATTCGCGTTGTTCCTGCAAATTTTCCTACGAAATTTTATTTACAGGTAATACCTTCGTAGATAATATTTTTTTGCGAAATATTAAAATTCGCAAGAAAGTTTCCTGTAAAAAAAAATTTGCAGGAAAGTTTCCTGCGAATTTTTTCACAAAAAATTTTGCAAGAATATTTTTTACAAAAAAATTAAAGAAATTACTATAAATTCTATCAATAATTTTTTAACTTTCAAATGCTCACGATGAATTCATCCGAAGCATTTGTTTTCATGTCTCCAACATGTGATATATAATCTTTTAAATTCTAAGATTATGGTTATAAGTCTAACATTCAACCATATAAATCAACTTGTAAGGTAAGTGTTGCCCCAACTTATATACTCTTTAATTGCTTTATTTTCAATCGATGTGGGACTTGAAGTTTTTCTAAAATATTAAACTTATAAATTTAAATTTTTTTTATTTTTCCTGCGGATTAAAATTTGCAGAAAATTTCGCAGGAAAAGTTACCTGTAAAATTTTTCTATCATTTAGTAAACATTACTTGCGAATTTATTTTTGCAAGAAACAAAATAAAATTCTTACAATATTTTCTGCAAATTTTTACCATGGAAAAAAATTTCTATGATTATTAAAATTGTAGCAAAATTTGTAAGAAATATCTGTAAATTATTTTTCGCAAATAAATTCGCAAAAAATTTATGCGAATATTTTTTTGCAGGAAAATTTTAAATAATCTCGTGCAAGATGGTCGAGTTTTTTTCTCTTTCAAATACACACTTAATAACTAAGTATTTTAACGCATGTCATTTATAAGATAAATATTTATTTTTATATTTATAAATTTTATAATTTAAATTATATTAATTTTTCTTTTTTATAACTAGTTTTATTTTTATCTTAATAATATATTAATTTTTCATTTGTTATATTATAATTTTCATTTGCAATCACTACGAGAAAGTTACTATTTAACGTTGTCAATTCTATATCGGTTTAGGTAAAATCGATGTAGAAATCAAATGCGGTGGCATTTTTGTAAATAAGTATATAATTGTACCTTCCCAGTAAAATTCCGACTAGACCCCCCACTCGTCTAATATCCGACCTAGTTTTGAAAGAAATTTATGTTTTACCCCTAAACTATTACAAAATTTAAAAGAGTTGTGTAAATTAGTTAGTTTATAAAGAGTTGGTGGAATTTTACTTAAACTCTTGTTTTATATATCGTAGGATTCAATGAAGATCCAAAGTCTAAGAAAAATCTAATCCAGTTAAGTGTTTGGAAAAGGGTTGGGTCCTTTTGAAAAAGGCTGAGCCATTTCAAAAGGGCTGAGCCCTTTAGAGGCAGAGAGCAAGATTTGAAACAAAGGTTAAAGTGCTTAGCCATTTTGAAAGGGCTGGGCGAATTGGCTCTAGATGGGTGCAAATTTTTGGTTTCCCAGGGGCTTAACAAATTCAAAAAGGATCAACCATTAAAGTTGTTTCACCATGAAGAATTCTCCAAACTGCTCAACCGTTTGGAAAAGGTTGAGCAGTTTACACTCACTCCTCCATACTCTATTTTATTTTGTTGTACATATATAAGGATTTGGGAGGAGAAAAACATGGAGAGAACCATCGAGACTTGTGCAAAAAATAGGCAGCAAGCAAAGAGTCTAAGAATCAGCTGGGAACAAGGGTTCTATGATCTTTCTTTCTCCTACACCTTCTCCATGTATTTTGGATTATCTTTCATCACTATGAGTGGCTAACTTTTCTTTTTGTTGGGGTTGAAAAATCTATCAAACTCTCATGTATTCCTTTTGATATATATATATATATATAT